ATGCTTGCACACAAAAAACTGAGTATGGATCCTCTTTGTTGGGCCTTTGGGCATTGTTACTGAACCACACCCCTTGCATCATGTTTTACACCCTCTATGTGTAGAATTTCACTTGTTTTTTTTAATTGATTTTCTCTTTAAATTAATTTTGATAATTTTGGTAGAAAAATCAATAAAAATAGTGATATAGGAATATGGAAAATAGTAATGTTTTCTTTAGGATTTGTTTAGAAACTCTTTTGAATGTATTTTTTTAATCATTATTTGACAATTTTTGTTAATCATTTGTTGCTATTTCTTTTTCCATGAATTTGTCATATAGTAGTATTGCAATTATATGTGATATGGTTAAACAAAATAGATTTGGTTGGAGATTTCAAGAGGTTTCAAAGTAAATTAAGAACATAATCTTCATCAAGAAAATTCACGGAGGCTCTCGGTAGAGTTTTCTTATCGCTTGCGTGGCTTTGAAGAGACAACGGATCTTCTTCGTTAGGTACCACTTGGATCTCTTTTACCTCTCTTTCATGCATCTACATCTGAAGTTCTGGAGGTATTCAGGCATTGGCGATAGACACAAAGGTGTTTGGTTGGATTTTATGCCACTTCTTTTGATGCTTATATCCTTTCCTTTTATTTATTATCGATCGATGTGTCACTCAATTAGAATTGAGATGACGAATTATCTCTCAGTGCATGTTCCCTATAGGATTGTTATCCTCGCCCTTATGTCTATCTTTGTATGCTAATACTAGGTATATTTTCCCCTTTATTATCCTAACTTTAGGACCACCATTGTATGATAACATTAGAAATAGGATTTCCCTTAGATTTTTCACCCCCTTTTGCATCCTTAAAAACTAAAAGATATTTTCTTAATCAAATTCAAAAATACTAATAAATATGATATATGCATATACGTCACGAGTCTTAAGCACGTATGGAGTACTTTGGATACGAGGCATCTGGCTCGACCATCTAAAAGTCTATCATTGTCATAGACTTTAGTATTGCACGTATCTCAAATATTTTCATAAATAAAGATGAAGTACTCTGATACCTCCAGCCTTGGAGAACCATCTGAGGTATTCTCCGAACAAAAAAATCAAAAAATTCAAACCTTTTTGCCTTCGGGCTGCCTCCGGGCCTTTCTTTTGAAAAACTTTTCAGGTAAGAACATCTTAATTCCTTTCTAAGAAAATTTCCTGAGTCTCCAAGGGTCGAGCGACAATAGAATGCGAAATTAACATCGTTCGTTAAAAAATACAAACAAACAGAAACTTTTAGCCGAACTACGATGCTCTGATTCCTTAAAAGGGATACATAGGCATTGGGTTACAGGGCCTAAGCAAGCACAACTATTTAAAACCTTTGTTTTCCCTATATTTTTCTTTTGCATTCATGCATTTCCCTTAGCTTGTAAGCTTTAGCATAGTTTAAACACACCCTTTGATTAGAACAACAAGAGTGGATCCCATGGAGTACCACTGACGTGAAGGATGCTAATATCTTCCTATTGCATAATCGACTCTCGTACCCTTCTCTTGGTTTCAAGACCTTGTTTTCTCTCAGGTTTATTTGATATTTTCCTTTCCCTTTTATGGGATAAATAAATATTCGATGGCTACTTCGTTATTCATTTTCCTAGTTGCCTCACCAACCAATTTAAGATGATCAAACCTTTTATATATGAGCATGCAATATTTGGTGCCTTTTAAGTACCTAATAACCTTCTTTGCAGCTTTATAGTGATCCATTACAGGATTACTTTGATATTGAACCAACATACTAACAACAAAATTGATATTCGGTCTTGTACATGTTTGTGCATCCATCAAGCTTCCGACCACTAATGCATAGAGAATTAAAACTTCTTTACATCATGTAACAAAGCAACATCATTGACAACAAATAAATTTATTATGAATTTTCTCTCACTAACCTTCCATAAAGATACACTGATCTACAATGTTATCTACAAAACCATATGACAAAAATATTGTTAAATTTAAGATACCATTGCTTGGAAGCATGTTTTAGTCCATATATTGACTTCTTTAATTTACACACTAAGTTTTTGTACTTGTTAAAAAAGTATAGATGCATAACAATCTTTGATTGGTAAGGATTTCCAGAGACTTTAATATTTATGTGGTGTTATAGCAGACTCGCAAGGGTGAGAAACACTACTTTAGGTGTGTTTTCTGTTTGTATGAGATTGATTCCTTAACCCCCTAAGGTTAGGGTATTTATAGGGGGCTTATGGGCTTGGATTTAGGGTTCCTCGAATGTAGTAGCCACTAGTAGGAGGGGGAGATGACCATTGATCCCCTATTTCTAAGGGAGACGTGGGTGATTCCTTAGATTTCTTCTCTGCACCACTTATGACCAAGACACGTCACATTTTCATGTTATCCTACTCTGGGAGAGTGATACGGGTTGTGGGCGATATTATCATGTCGCCCCTTGCAGATCTTTACAAATACATCATTATAATTTTCTTTTCTTGTAGTAACAAACCCTTCAGGTTGATCCATATACACTTCTTCCTCTAAGTCGCCATTAAGAAAAGAGTCTTCACATGCATCTAGTGAAGCTCTAAGTCATAATGATTCATCAAATTCAAAACAATTCTCAAAGAGTTCTTCTTTGAAACAAGAGAAAAAGTTTTTTTTGGGTAGTAAAATCCATCCTTTTGAGTGAAACTTTTGATGACGAGTCTAGCTTTAAAGCTTTCCATCTTTCCTTTCGAGTCTCGTTTGGTCTTAACGTAATATTTAAAACCAATTCATGCGAGGCTTTAGACAACTCAACTAGATCCCATACATTATTGCCATCCATTATTTTTAACTATTCTTTCATAACATTGACCCATTTTTCAGAATTAACACTTTCCATGGCTTGTGTGAATGACACTGGATCCAAGTCAATGCTCAAGTCACATTCGCTTTCAAGTGAATAAATAACATAATCTTTTGAAATAGTTGGTCTTATTTTCCTTTCAGACTTTGTCGTCGTTAACCTTTAGTAGAACTTTTCACTTCTTCTTTTCCTTCTCACCTGGCTTGAATTTACTTCTACTAGTTTCGCTACGAGTCGTGAGATAAACAAAATGACCTTTCATCTTTCTTAACCTCTCCTCTTATAGAACTAATACAATCTTAATTTCCTGAAAGTTCTATTTTTTCTTAACGATGTTATAATTCACTTGGAACTGACCAAACTCAAGATGAAGTGAGTTAATGATAAATTGTACAAGAAAACATTCACACATCCATACCTAAAGACTTTAATTCTTTTTGCCAGATTTCTATTTGAGTCACATGATCATGAATGGGTTGAGACCATTCAAAAATTTTAATCACCAATCCACTCATCAAATCCCAACAATAAATTTATAACTAATATAATTAGAGTACTCTTTCACATTTTTTCATAAATTCTCTTGCATTTTTAATTTTGGGCATAAATGGCTTAACATTTCAACCATTGTCCCTTTCATCGAATTCAAGGACAACATGTTAGACCTTTTTCAAGTCTTAAAGAGAGACCTTTTATCTTTTGTATTATCCTCTTAATGGTTGTTAGCTTTTCATCTAATATTAATGTCGTGTCCAAGTCCATAACACAAAGTTGGAACTGGATATTTTCATACCAATCCGCGTAGTTTAGCCCTTTGAACTTTGTCATTGCATTACCTAGAGCAAACATATTACTATCCACTCAAATATTTAAAACACGCTTATACATTGTTTCTTTGAATAAATTTCACGGATTCAAACTAATTTTTTTTTTTTTTGGATTTTAGCCAACCAATTCCGATTCACATAGTGAACCGACTCACTGGCCAAGTCTTGTTTTCTTCAAGAATCGAACTCGGATAGTATCCAAATGATTCATCTTTAATAGAAGCTTCTTTCTCACTAGAGCCCAAATACTTGGTTCAAACTAATTTATCTTTAAACATGCATCAAAGTTCACATTTTTGGGTCAAATCTAAATACATTTCAATAAACTAAAATGATGTTAAATGAACATGCTTTAATATAATTAATAATACTCAAAAGAACATGATATCTATTTTTGGATAAACAAACAATAAGTATGACACTAAATATTTAAATTTCATTAATTAAGTCATAATCTATATTTAGATGATCTACATATGTCTTATAATAATAAATCTTATTGAACTCAAACATTTTCATATGACATTCGAATCATAATTCAATTGTAACAAAATCAACCTATTATGCATTTAACTTCAAACTAATGCATCAAAATACAAAAGAGTGAGAAAATGAAAAACTTACCGAATATGAGTAGTCAACGATTTTTCAATTGAATGGAGTGGAGTAGAGAAATATTGATATCCTAGGCTTTTACTACAATACAATAGAAATAGCGAGAAAACTTGAAAAATGATGGAAGACAAATTTGCTCACAAGCTTTATTTTAGATTATGAGGAAACTCTGAAATAAAATGAATAAGAAGGAATAAGGAAGGTCTAACGCGTTATAATAATCAAACACGTACAAAACTTAACATCCATATATATTCTTCTATGTTCTTGTCTGAGACTGAGACTTGTCTTTGATTGCATTTTTGGTGCGTTCGATGGTTAAGTTCCAAATTTTAACGGTATTATTGATTTTTTTGTAGGGTGCGTGAATATGACCAACGGTGTCAAAAGTAATTCCCTAATTGCTGGGCTTGGATCCATCCTAAATGGACTCCATTTACCGGCCCAATTGTCAGAAAGAGCAACGAAAAGATGAAGAACGAGTAAGACAAAGAAGAAAGAAAAACTGAAAAACGAAAAAAGCAAGAGAAAACTGTTTGAATCTGAATTCCTAAAAAAAATCTGCGAACCCGTGGTTTGCATTGTATATACTCTCCTTATCCCTTCTTCTTTCGTTGATTTTCATTATCCCCTTTGGTTCGATGTAAGCGTCAATCAGAGCGTTTTCGCAATCACTTTCTACGAAGCTCGATCGCCATGGCTATCGATATCCTAACCTTAGAAAACAGGTTCATTTCATCAACTCAAAAATCAAAATGCACTGTTATCCTCGTGTTAATTCATCTCCTTCACTTTAATTTCTTTGTTATTATCGAATTGCTTTTGTTATAGTGATTAATTTCAGTTGTTCGCTCTTAATTTTCGTGGAATTGATCATTAATTGTGATAATCGGTTACTTGATTTTCATAATCCAACTCGTTCTATATGAAGCATGGTTTCAGATTTTGATCGACCGCGTGCGTTGTGCTTTTCCGTTTGTTTTCTAATGATTCAATCTCCGCTGCTTCCTTTGTGTTATCTTATTGAATCAATGGGGAACAAGTTAGGTTGCGAATTAGATGTTTGATTAAATTGATTTCGATTATAGTTGATAATTTCTTACTGTTGCCTTGTTGTTTGTGTTGTTTATCTATATTGTTGAGCGCTTAAGAATCAACCGAAGAATAAATAAAGTGTAGCAGATATGAGGATGTTGTGTTGGATGTGTGGTTAGACTAGAAAGAATAGGTTTATAAATGAAAATATTAGAGAGAATGTTGGGGTAGCACCTATAGGAGAGAAAATTGTGGAAAATAGACTTAGGTGGTTTGGGCATATAGAGAGAAGACCATAGGATTATGCAATAAGGAGAGTAGATCAGATGGAGATAAGTCAAACAACTAGAGGAACAAAAAGACCTAGAAAGACTATAAGAGAAGTCATTAAGAAAGATCTCGAGATTAACGATTTGGATAGAAGCATGGTTATGGATAGAATATTATGGCGAAAGTTGATCCACGTAGCCGACCCCACTTAGTGGGATAAGGCTTGGGTATTGCTGTTGTTGTATTATAATCATCTGATATTGGTTTTGGTTCTAGGTATATTGATTCTTGCAGGAGACACGGTGTTTTGCCTAATGCTACTATTTTGTCAAGCTTTTTCAAGGTATGATGTTTATTCCGGTACACATTATTTGCTGCGAAATCATCTCTGTTATATTCAAGTATATAGTTTTGTTAGTGTTTTGGTAAGCGAGGACAAGTGATTTGTACTTGCATAAGCTACACCAATCTTTGGTACTCAATCGATTTTTAATTGTATTTCAAACTATTTTTTTTTTTTGTAATCTAGTTCTTCATCTTGTGACTCTCTGCCTGCGCAGGGGGCAGTGAAAGTATACTGTTTTTATACTCTATTATTTTCAAGGTTTAGAAGCTAAACTAAACTTGACCATCATTGTGCAGGCCGAGGTAAAAAAATCCAACCAAGAGCCATGCATCCTGGAGATTTTAATTGACGATCTTAAGGATATTGATTTTGCTCCACTCTTCGAGATATGCATGAACATTGATACTTCTGAAATAGAAGCTGTTGATGTACGTAACGAATCACCATGTGTATTAAGTGGAGAATATGCATTATCAGTGATGCGTGCTATTAAGCAAAAGCTTCGGGTAGTTGAACTACATGATGTTTCATTTGCAAAAGACTTCGTACGGTATATTATGATGCTTGTCATGGATTATCTCTTTTATAAAAATGAAGTTTTATTTTTGACTCAGCTTTATAGTTTATTTCCGCCATAGAACAAAACACTTGACTTGCTTTTAAAGGGGGGCTAGACATGACCAAAAAAATTCCAAGTCTGATTTTAGAAATGGCCATAGAACAAAACGCTTGATTTGCTTTTAAAGGGGGGCTAGACATGACCAAAAAAAAAATTCCAAGTCTGACTTTAGAAATGACCATAGAACAAAACGCTTGATTTTCTTTTAAAGGGGGGCTAGACATGACAAAAAAAAGATTCCATGTCTGATTTTATAAATGGCCATAGAACAAAACAAATCTGAAGGTGAGGTATAGGATAAAACTTAAATTTTGGTACTCAAGAAACCATGGGACAGCTTATTGCCTAAGAACAACTATTTAAAAGACAAAGTACCCATTTTGACTTTCTAATCAACTAATATAAGTCAGCATGGTTTGAGAAAATGCATTCTGTTTTCACTTTCAATTGGAAAATTGTCTTGTTTTCAACGTGTTTCCCCGTTTTTAAATATTTGTATAGAAAATAGTGAAAACAAGTTATCAAACTAAACAAGTCATATGCTCTGTAATACTAATATGTTGTGCAAAATAAACATTTCACGTAACAAAGAACACTATTTTGCATGTATTGTATATTTACCACCAAATATATTATGTTAGGACTCGAGTGTTACTCCAATAACACTATTCTGTTTGTGACGTGCCTTGGTGTGTATCAAACACATCATAAGGATTACTTTTGGCATTTACAGCAGCCAATTAACATGATTAGATGAGGTGCTCCTTCTTATTGATACACGGTGAATTGGTGCAGTTGTTTCCCCTAAAAGTTTCAAGCCTGCACTTTTCTTTCATTATTGGGAGAACGTGCTTTAGTGGATGCACTTTTTGGTGCTTTATTTTCTTGCAACTGATATTTTCTGATTAGTTTTGGGTTAAATCACCAGGGATATCTCGCAAGGTTTGACATGCCAAGTCTTGACATTGAGGTCTTGGCGTTTCCGGAAGTTGAGCTTGATGGGGGAGTTCATGCATATGCACACACTTAACCTTGATTTCAGTTCTTCCCTTACCGGTTTTGAAGAAGACTGTTTTAATTGCATGCCCAATCTAATGTGTCTCTCAATGTGTGAAACAAGAATTTCAAATCTTTGGACAACTGTTGCAGCTCTCTCTAAGCTTCCTTCTTTGGTTGAGCTAAGATTTCAATATTGGCAGTATTGTAATGATGAGGGAACTTCTTTTACCTCATCCAGTGGGAAGTCAGATGCCACCGCCGATTTTAGTCTGCTTGATAGAGTTCCTTTTATTGGGGAATCCTGCATTGATACAAGGGAACTAACAGATCTTAACATTAGTGTCGAGGATCCACTTAGAAATTTTTATTCCTTTGATGAAGAAGTTATGAATCATGATGTTCAAAGCATGGTCGAGGACTCATCAGATGATAGTGAAATTGAATTGACAAATCATCATCATAGAGACTGGTTGGCAGGTGTTTTTCCTAGGTGGAATTTACAAATGCCTCTTCAGAGTGAGGTAGCCAATCTACTTTTAATTTGAAAATATATTTCCTTAATAGCCGTCTCTATATCAAAATAATAATTGGAATTTGGAACTCTTGCTCTCGTCGGAGTTTTGATCATTTTTGTCTAATTTATTTGAAGTAATTTACTATTAATTGCATAAACATAATTTGGATTTTAAAATAGTCACGAACATTGTAAGTGTAACTTCCAAGGTCATGGTGTCAGCCTGCGTCTTATGCTCTTGTGATTATCTTATAAAATGCTATTAAGTTATTGAAATTATTATAATTTAAAGCTAGTATACCGAGGTAGTCAAATTAATTACTTTATGGTTTTCTAATTTGCCCATTTCTACTTTATTCTTATGGTCTTATTTTACTTTGGAACTTTAGTTAATGACTTTCTTTTTGTTAGATTTCAATTTGCATGCTGTAAGAAAAATATTGAAATGCTTGTTATTAAATTGCATAGAAGTGATTCAGGTTATTGTACTATTTCTTACGTCAATATTAACCAAATCATAACTTCAAAATTCATTTTAATCTTTAACTTCGACTATTTGTGTTACAGAACGAAGAACAGTCGTCAAGAGATTACTTTACAGGGAATAGTGTTGATGTTTCTATGAAGTACATGTCTTGTCATGCATCACCAATATGTCAGGAAAAACATTACAGAGAATTCATAACAGCTTCATTGCCGAAGCTGAAAAGTTTAGATAATCTACCGATCAGAAATATTGACAAGGAAAGGGCTACTGGAATATTTTCTCAGTACTTTGAATATCTTCCATACAGATGGAAGAGCAAAGAAAGTGTTTTAAGTATCTTACACAAGCGAGAAATAAAATCAGGCCGCATTAAAGCTCAATCTTCTAAGCGTAGCCCATCACATCCTTCTGGAACGTCTCAACATTTTTATACAAGGTCTCTTTCTGCTGCTAAACTAGGGTCTTCAACTTGGCCTCTCTTACATCCTCTTTCTCTATCAGGGTTTGAATTGGATAAGGGATTTCGGCCAAGGCAGTTTGAGTATCACCCATCTGACTCCAGCTTGATGGTGTTTGGAACTTTAGATGGTGAAGTAGTTGTCATCAATCACGAAAGTGAACACATTGTGAGTTATATCCCATCACTTGGCGCGATGAATAGTGTCTTGGGCCTTTGTTGGCTTAAGAAATATCCTTCTAAGGTAAGTTACATGAGAAGTCACTGATAGAGATTGCATCTACTTTTGATATTGGTTTATATGAGAATACTAACAGATACCTGCTACATATATATATATCGACAATTATTGATGTAATTCTTCTACAGTGCCACACCAACAATCATAATTTGTTGTTTGTCATACATGGTCAGATAGTCTTGTAGAGCCTAAAGTAGTTTTAACGGGATATGGCACTTTATAATTACGTTACGTCTGTCCCTAAATTTAGGACCTTGTAGACTAAATCACAAAGCTAAACAATTGGCAATGTTTTTACAAGTTTACCCTTTAAATGAGATAATGAGCTTATGTTCCCATTATACTAGTATTTATTGCTGGTTACAGTAGAAGATGTAAATTATTAGGAGTATGTTGGTAAATAAATAATTAATGCAGTTGGAAATTTGAAGAGATCCTATTAAAAGGGGCCAAGGAATTTCTCAATAGGATTCTATAATTAGGGATTGGGTAGATCATTTATCTAAGGAAGGCATTAATTCATTGAAGTATTCCATTCTGTTTAGTTAGATTTAGAGCACTTGATCCTCCAATGATTTTTTAATAGCAATTTCTGATGTTTTTTATTGTGTTGCATGTCAGCTTATAGCAGGTTCAGATAATGGTTCCCTGAAATTATATGACATCAACCATACACCGAGAAAAATTACTGGCTTATACGGGAACTCTGGTTGTGTTACCTTTGATGAATTTGACCAGCTGACATCTGTTCATGTTAACTCCACAGATGAGTTATTTCTTGCAAGTGGTTACTCAAGAAATGTTGCTTTGTATGACATCAACAGTGGAAAGCGCTTACAAGTATTCACAGATATGCATCGTGGGCATATTAATGTAGTGAAGTTTGCAAATCATTCCCCATCAATTTTTGCCACTTCATCATTTGATCAGGATGTCAAGATGTGGGACTTGAGACAGAAACCAATTCACCCTTGCTTCATTGCTTCAAGCTCTAGAGGAAATGTGATGGTTTGTTTCTCTCCAGATGACCAATATATTCTAGCATCGGCAGTTGACAATGAGGTATTTTACTTCGTAGTGTGGTTAGTTATTGGTCCTTGCATGCAAAGTGCAATTGCTGAGATAGGCTATGCACACCAGGGAAAATCTGCTTCAGCTTCATAGCAGTGTTGATTGATTTTTTTCATATATGCATAATATTTTCAATTGATTGCCTATATACTTGTTTTTTTGTGTGGCAGTTTTTATCTTAAAAAATATTGTTCGTGTGCTGACTAACTTGTCAATTTTGACAGGTTAGACAATTTCTGGCTGTTGATGGTAGGCTTCACTTAGTTTTTGATATAGCTCCAACTGAAAGTTCTCAAAATTACACCCGTTCTTATTACATGAATGGGAGGGACTATATTATAAGTGGAAGTTGTGATGAGCAAATTGTCCGTATTTGCTGTGCTCAAACAGGGAGGCGCCTGAGAGATATTTCCCTGGAGGTATGTCAATCATCTAATTGCATGCTTTACTGGCAACCATCTAATGAATATAACATAATGGAAGAGAAGAGAGAGAAAGGGGTACCAACATACAAAATGGGAGCTGGGTAGTTGTTTGTTCCACACTTTGATGGGAACCCAGACTGTTAAAATGCTATAAACAGTAAATAACAGAGAATGGAAATGAATTGCGTTTATTGATGGTGAATTTGGACAATTACGGAGGGAAATGATTCTGACACAGAGCAAGCTCCTTTGGAAAGCTAGAGCTTTCCATTCATATCTAACAACTAGATTCTCAAGGATAATCCTCTCAACCTCCCCTACGTTCCTTATAGAGTGAAACCGTTACACAATTCTCTCACCTCAATCCAATATAACAATTATTCCTCTCTACCCTTTTTGCCCCTTCTAGAGTAAACTTGCCGAAACTTAGGCCCCACTGAGTCATGATGAATTTATTTCTCATTTGGGCTGACTTCTAAAACTATGGATCAAGTGGCCTAAAGTATGGCACGTTTATTCTAGAAGAGGCAAAAGAGGGAATTATGGATAACTCTTGGGATGGCTGTGGGGAGAGCAACAGACTATAACCATTTCCATTTAATGAGTTATTATGGATAACTCTTGAGATGGTTGTGGGAGAGCAATAGACGGTGACAGTTTCCTTTTATAAGGAGTGGAGGCGGGGTTTGAGAGGGCATCTTTGTGAATCTGAGAAATTAGAATGAATAAGGAGTATTGGCTTCCTATAGGAGGTCTAGCTCTGGTCAGGAAACTAGGGATTCTTTTTCGCCTTCCTAGCTCTGGTCAGGAAACTAGGGATTCTTTTTCCCCTTCCTAGCTCTGGTCAGGAAACTAGTGATTCTTTTTCCCCTTATCTGTAATCGCCCTCTAGTTATAAGCAATAAAAGCTCTCTCCCTCATATTTTGTTTTTTCTACTCATTTTATTTTTTTCTATCTACTGGTTCCTATCAAACTGCTCTAACACAACTTCACAAATAATATGAAGGAAGTATTTCTTATATTACAGGATTGTACATTTATGTTTATATTCCTCTATTGTTTTTCCATCCAACAAGCAACATCTCAAAAACCAGCTTAGGAAGGAACTTGAACAATTGATGCTTGAGTATTGTGCTTTTATGTGTTGCTCCATTCTATTGAGAATTTGAGATTACTTGTTTACTTCTATGCAGGGTAAAACCTTAGGAAGTTCCATGTTTGTTCAATCTTTGAGAGGCGATCCTTTCAGGGTAAGTTCTGTTTGGCTTATCCCCGCCTTCTCTTGGTAAAAAGGAATGGCAACACTAGTTAGCAGCCTTGTGGAGAAGATGAATAATTTGGGGATTTCACTTGTTAAATATCATTCACTATCATACTGGACATAAAAGATTTTTCTCATTTGTTTGGGTTGTTTCTTTTCATATTTCTTTGTTAATTCTGCTTGGGTTGGCACTTGGCTGTTACTGTGTTGCCCTTGTTAAACTTTCACATGGCCTTTCGATTGAATGTCTTTTCCTCGGAAATACTTTTAGAAAGGGAAGAAAAAAATTATATTTTTATCTTTAGGAGTAAACACATTTATTCGGCACAATGAACTTCTGCTTGTTTTCATTATTTTGTTAATTAGAATTTAGTCCCACCGCTTTTCTTTAACGAGAGTTCTCTGTTTCTTTCAATGATGTTGTATGCAGGATTTCCATATGAGTGTGTTGGCAGCTTACATGCGACCTGGCTCCAAGTCTGAAATAGTCAAGGTTTTGTACCTTCCTATAGATGCATTAAATAGGGATGTCAACTTGTATCCTCTAATGGGGACTCCCGCGGATGTGGAACTTCCCCCGCGGGGATAGGATGGGAAACAAAGTCCCTCCGAAGGCACTTCGAGGACGGAGATGGCGAACACATCTCCGCCCCGTGGAGTCTCCGCGCTATCTAGAATAACATAATATCCTTAATTAATATATATTTTAAATTTATATGTAGGTTTATTTGTCATTTCATATAACTTATTTTATAAAATTTCTTGGAACATATATATAATGTTAGTAAAAGAGAGATCTAAATGATTATTTAAAAAATTTTAAGTTTGAAAATTTGGTGGTCATGACTCCTCGTAAGCATAGATTACATGTTGTCAAAACAATAGAGTTTTTGAATTTTTTACTATTACTTTGGTTTAAACTAATAAAAGATCTCCGTGGAGATGAGGATGGAGGACAATGAAAAAGCATGAATAGAGATGAATTAATACAACAATTAAGATTTCCCCCATTCATTTGCTATCACAATTACTACATAGTAAAATGTTTGTTTTCCTTATTCCCTTTTCAGTCTGACTCCGTTTAAGCAGGAAAAAAAAGTGTTCTAATTTATTCTGCCTTTCACATTGGAACATTCAAAATGAATGAGAGGAAACATTTACTTCGCTTAGCGGGAGAAAAGATTCTTAAAAACTTGTTTTGTTTTTGCAGATCAACTTACTAGCATCTAGTGGCCATGCTAATGACGACTCTGATGATCATCCTGTATGCCCATCCAACATTATGGGAGCTTGATGTACTATTTTGTATGTAATATATGTGTAGAGTTGATTTTGAATTGGTTTTTACTAAGTAATAATAATTGTTGTAGTTAATTACCGTGTTGAGCTAAGATTTGCCTACATGTAATGTAAATCAACAAATGTAAATAAAAAACATGTAATATCTTAAGTTATAGTGATCAGAAATCAGAGTTTGTAAAACTATTGCTTTTGAGTGTAAGATATTTTCTTTTATTTTGTACACTGATGAAAGTTTGCTTGAAAAGAAAATAGATTTCAGTGATTCATATAATATTGGTGGTATGGTGCTACACTACTTTCACTTTTTTTCACTGTCAAGCACGCACCATGTATCCATAATCCATGATACGAGATTGAGACAATTATTTTTCTAAGTAAATAAAGAGCAAAGCAACATACAGAATGGGACAAAAGAAATTGAAGGTACTATAAGAATTCGTGGGTGGAGAGTAGAGCCAGAACAGAAACCATCACATGCTGTCTCAATGTATCTTCCTGAGTTAAGACCGATCCTTCTGCTTTTACATATTTTATTACATCACACACCGACTCCACCTATTTTCTATTGCATCACACATTACAAGCCGATTCTTCTGCTTTTTCATATTTTATTGTCATTTTCACCATCCCTGTTAAGACTATTCTCAAGTTGTGACCATCAATATAAATACATGCTACAAGCAAAATGCTATCACAAACTTCTCGAGAGTTGAGTTGAGACTTGAATATTAAAATGAAGCCTCTCTTCACCATGCTGCTATTTTGTTCCCTTCTTCTATGCTCCTCTTTCTTGGAGCAATCCATTGCATATGAAGATTCAAGTAAGAATTTATTCATTTAATTTGCCTATTTTGTTCTTTTTTAAGGTTTGGTATTACTGAAATTTAATATTCATTTTAATGGCAGCTTATTGCACCAACAAGTGTTCAGACAGGTGCTCTAAAGCAGGGGTTCAAGATAGGTGTGTGAAATACTGTGGAATATGTTGTGAAGAGTGCAAATGTGTTCCTTCAGGGACTTATGGGAACAAGCATGAATGCCCTTGCTACAGAGACAAGGTTAACAAAAAGGGCAAGCCCAAGTGTCCTTGATCTACTGTTTTGTTTTAGGTGTCCATTGTGAGTCTGAGATGGTTAGTGTTTTTGTATGAGGGATGATTAAGTATGTATGTTGGATTCTTGTTGTTATTTCAGTTTTTCAATGTCTGTGGGATGTTAGATCTGAAGAGGATTAATAAATATCAGTGACATACATATACGTTCACACGGGTATTGATATGATATGCATATTTATTTTTAAATTATAATAAAAATGAAAGAGAAAAAATTAAATTATTGAATAAAAAAGTTATTTTTTTATATGATGCGTTCGGATATGCATATCCAAATAATATTTTAAGATTTTCAAAAATTTATCTTGATACTAAAAAATTCTGAATAAATTATATATAGTGGGGTATGATTCTAGGAATGTTCCCTTTTTATATTTATTGTTTTTGAAGCTGTGGAAGTTTTTTATATTTATTGTTTTTGAAGCTGTGGAAGTTTGTCATTGTTGATTATTTAATTCAATATGAATACGCTACGGATTTATTTTTACATTTATTAAAGATAAGGAAACTAACAATCTTGACTATTAGGCTTTCTGGTGTATTAGTTAAATAACTATTAGGCTTCGGGACTGCATGTAAATGGTCTGTGATGAATGCTGTGACACATGAATAATGTATTAGTAGTTAAACTTAATGTTGGAATATGAAAAAAAAAATTAATGAATTAATGGTGAAAAGTAGTGAATTTAGAGAAGATGAAGTTAGAGAACTTAGAGATTATGAGAGATTATGAGAGAGAGAGTAATTGAGGAGAAAAGTTTATTATGGCATTAGTATCAAATAAATATTACATGAGAGTTTATATAGGATATCACTAAAATACAATTTAGAACCAAACAAACTTAAGAAAACAATTAAAAATTTAAAATATCGCGCTGGAAACCGATTTCTCAAAATAAGGGAATTGATTTTCTGAATTGAAAATGCAAATACCAGAAAAACACAGTTATGGAAATCGATTACCCACTTTGTGAAAATCGATTTCCTCTTCGAAAATTCTAGATTTTAGATTTTCAGAAGTGCTTCTCAAATAAGCTATTTTAAACGAAACGATTTCTGAAGTTTTCACAATGCATTTGAATTATTTTTAAGCTTTCAACACACCGCCTTAAATGCTCTAAGGTTTTCATATCCAAACTCACCACAAGTTTCTTAAACACCAAATTTGTTACACCTTTCGTTAACAAATTCGCAAGTTGTTATTCGCTTCGACGGTATCCTAACTTCAGCTGGCCTGCACACCAGTTCTCTAAAGTAATGAAATCTCATCTCGATATGTTTGCTCCTCCCATGTACTATGGGATTCCTTGCAAGATTAATAGTTGAAACATTGTCAATCAAGAGTGTGTCAGCTTCTTCAACCTTGTTGCCCAACTCATCCAGCAGTTTCACAAGCCACACAGCCTGACACGTACACATCGACAGAATGATATAATCGCCCTCATAAGAAGAGAGTGTCTCCACAGGTTCCTTTTTAGAACACCGAGATATTTGAGCTCTGCCGAACATAAAGACATAATCAGTCGTAGATTTTCGATCATTCTTATCTTTGCACCAATTGGAATTCGTGTAACTGAGTAACTCGCAATTTCTGTCTGTATTAGCTGCGGGAAAAAGTATTCCACAACCAAGAGTTCCTTTGATGAATCTTAAGATCCACTTAATTGTTTCCAAGTGAGACACCTTCAGCCTCTCCATGAATCTACTCGCAACCGAGATTAAACGCAAAATCTGGCCGTGTATTACATAAGTAACGTAATGATCCAATCAACCTCTTATATTGTGTTGGATCTACATTCTTCTCATCATCACTTTTGGACAACTGCATGAAGGAAAATTGCGATCAAAAGCGCAGCGGAATTTAAAATTTTCCTTTAGCGATCCTTACGAATGAGCATGGTCAGTGATAGAAATATTTACCTCTTGTGGCGATTCAGACCTTTGATGTTGTGATCACGAGCGTTGATAAAGAACAACGCCTCTACTCAGTCCACACGAACAGATCGCTTCCGGTCACAGTGCTAGCTGATCACGAACGGAAACCTTGAGTGAGAGAGAGAATCAAAAACGAAATTGCATCAAGTGAAATTGCTTCATCACAAGGGATCTATTTATAGAATCACTCGTGTGGGCTACAAGCTAAAAGCCCAATTAAGGCTATAAGCTAAAAGCCCAATTAAGCTTATGGACATCATACCTTATGATGTACCATATATCACTTATCCACGTGGTACCTTACCACTTTCCGTATTACACTTAAGTGCACCGTACCTTATGGTGTTCCTTATTTATTCTATCTCTCATCAACCTGTCCTTATGTGTGTGACCCTGTAGGTTTTCGCGACGTTGACAATTATATTAAATCACACATTTAATATAATAAACAGTGAGCGGTATCTAGCAACACATCACTGTTACCCAAGTCACGAAAATGTCATGTGATCTGACCAAACCTTTTCCGTGATAATATTTGTGTTTTACAATTACCCTTTTTCCCTCATGTCTATATTGAACACAAGGCATACACTGTGTCGCCCTTGTCTAGTTCAATATTTGGGCCCTTAGACATTTATCCTGTTATGCAGGATGAGCAAATTCAATCTAGGTCACTCATGTCCCTTAGCATGCTTTGTGAAGTACCCATCAACCGTCTTTATAGTCATCCAGTTACGGATGACGTTTGATCAGCAATAAAGTACTTGACTCTACATCTAGGATCCATAGTGGTTTCAGGTCGAAGGGTGGTATACACCATTATCATCATGAGAATAGCTTATGACACTTTGCATAACATTCTATGTAGTATTCTCATAGCGGGTCAATCCAGTATAAATATTACCCCTAATATTCATACCTATGTCAAGACTTGATAACTCCTTATCTATGATCCATGAGATGTGATCATCAATCTATCTTCATAATAATCTTAATGCTTTAATGTTATCCCACTTCACATTAAAGCTTGACTACAAATACTTTAAGAATAGTTTCTTATGTTTAATGGGATCTCATGATTAAGTCACACTTAACATTTCATTAAACCAATAAACCATTCTAGGGACTTTATTATTTTGGAAATCAAACATAATAAAGAAATGCCTTTTATTATTAATAAATAATTCGATACAAGTACCAAAAGTATTGGCCTCTAGGGCTTACACCAACACTACAACCTTGCTTCAGCAGGGGTATTGAGAATATTACAATGCTCCATATCACACCTTTTCAAAATCTCAAGAGCATACTTTCTTTGATGTATGAGCAGTCCCGATTTTGACCTGTAAAACTCTATGTCAAGAAAGTAAGTCATGATTCCAAGGTCACTCATTTCAAATTCTTCTATAAACTCACTTTTGAACTTAGAAATATTCACTTCATTGCTGCCTGTGACCAATAAATCATTCACATATAAGTAAAGTATGATCACATCTTTGCTTGCATCCGTCTTCACATAGACACCATGTTCGGAAACATATTTCTTGAAGCTAACTTCAATTAGAAAAGCATCAATGCGTTTGTTCCAAGATCTACGAGCTTGTTTTAAACCATAAAGTGATTTCTTCAATTTGAAGACTCTTCCCTCTTGGTTTGTCACAACAAAACCAGGGGACTACTCTACATAGACTTCCTCCTCATGTGGATCATTCAAAAATGTAGATTTCACATCAATTTGATAAATTGACCAATTATTACTATTCGCAATAGCAACAATCAGCCATATGGTTTCTAATCTAGCCACAGACGCAAACACGTCATCATAGTCTATACATTCTCTTTGCAAAAATCCTTCGCAACTGGTCGAGCCTATGCTTGACAATTTCGCCTTTTGGATTTGCCTTTAATTTTTAGAATCATCTCACTCCGATTGGCTTTTTACATTCCGGTAGATCGACCAACTCCCAAGTATTGTTTTTCTCAATCGATTCCAGCTCCTCTTTCATCGCACAACACCCACTATGGATTGCTTAATGCCTTCTTCGTGGTCACGGGCTCAGATTCGACAATAAGCGTAAAGTGAATAAGATCACCATCATTGTTGATCTTATTATCATGGAATACTTCACAATCTTGGAGCCTTTGAGGTAGACCTCTGCGCCTTATTGGTCATCTATTGGATTCACCATTTTTGAACTCAATTGGAAGCTACACAGAACCTGCAGAATCCATATTTTTTCTGCATTTTCTTCAGGAAATCGATTTCCAGAATTAGGGAAATAAATTTCCCCATTTGAAAATCTAGTTCCGACAGCTTCTGTATGCAAAAATCGCAAAGGAAATCAATTTCCCTCATCTAGATAATCGATTTCCTGAACTGATATTGTCTTTTTTCTGCTGTCAAACAGACCTATCTTATCCACTACCACATCTCGACTTATTACAATCTTCTTGATTTTCACATCAAACAACTTGTAACATCCGGTAGGATGATAACCAACAAGTAACATCATCTCTCCTTTGTCATCCAACTTCTTTTGAAGCTGACCTGAAACATATCGAAATGCTACTGAATCGAAAACTTTCAAATGACACAAATTTGGTTTAAGTCCAGATCATACTTCTTATGGAGTCACCTTGTCCAGCTTCTTTGTAGGGAACCTATTTAACAAATAGGTAGCTGTAGAAACAACTTATCCCCATAGTTCATTCGACAAGATTTTTCCTTTCAACATGCTACGAAACATATTAATTATTAAACTATTTTTCCTCTCGGCAACACCATTTTGTTGAGGCGTATAAGGTGGCACAACCTCACACACTATACCCTCATCATCACAATAATTCTCAAACACATTCGAGGTATACTCACCTCCACCATCCATTTTGAGAATTTTGATTTTGTGACCACTTTGTTGCTCAACCATAGACTTGAATCTTTTAAACACATCAAATACCTCATACTTCCTCTTGATTAGGTATGTCCATAGCTTCCTACTAAAAACATCAATAAATGTGACAAAATACTTACTCCCACCATACGAG